TAGTCAAACTTGCCCAAAAAGCAAAAGCTTCAAAAAGAGTGATTATTGCTTTTAAACTCTTGCATTTATGTTGAATTCACATGCATACTATTAAATGAAGCCAAAACTTCCTGACTCTTTTCCGAGTTAAGCCTGAATTCACGCTCATTGAGAACAACATTGAACATGAAATCTTCCACAGTAGAGTAATTCTCAAAACAATACTTTAACCATTAGTAACACATTTTGCTGGATTTTGTAAGGTGGCTTCAGACTAATATCTTGATTCAATTAAGTATAGTTTCCACTAACCCTAAACTTTGGCAAATCTATAGTTACAGTTAAGGTTAGGATTCCCACAAAACATAAGCACATTTTGATCACATGGTTGTGTTTTCAGACAGGAAGTACATTTTTTTCTTCCATACATGTATGTGCTCCTTCATGGATAAATTTCACCTATTGCAAATGAAAGCATAATATATCCTTTAAAATGACTACCACTGTGAAGTTCTTGCTTTTGTATTGCCTCTTTCAGATGCTTTTTTTCATAAATGTTTTTTCTTAAGATTCACATTGCTGCCTAATATAAAGATGCAAGAGATAAACAGTATCTAAAACTCTCATTTTTTTTAAAGATCACACCCCGTCTTGAGTATCATCAAGCAAGAATGAAAGCCAAAACATAAAAGTTCTCACGTGAGCATCAAGTCATCAAAATGAAGTACTATATATTAAGTATGGTTCCTTCTCAAATAAAGTTTACTGCCCTGTCTTCTTTAATTGCAAGATGGCAAATTCCTTTGAAAATGTTCCAGGAAAAGACCCAAGCCTCATAAACATTTTTAAAAGTGCAACTAGGGAGCAAATCTAACGGAGAGACCTTTTAAAATAAACCTTTCCAGTGACGTCAAACACATTTATCACTAATGGATTGAGACCTGCTGTTTTCTCTGGCTAAATTTCATATCAAGATCTTCAGAAAGAATGCCATTCATGTGAAATGTGCTACTATGATGTCTTTTAGTATAGCATTGGGTATAGCTTATTTCCTTTGACAAAAGAATGCAAGTAACTACCTAAAAAAAGGTAATGCAGAATGTTAGCAAAAAAGTGTATTTTTTCTGGAACAGTATGATGTGGTATTGTGCAGGAGTGGAGATTGTTTCTATTTGCTCCTCCTTCTATTGTCCTTGGCAAGATGCTCCATTCTTTTCTCCTTTACGGAAATCAAGGGGTTTGTTAGTTATAAGAAAACAATTCTCCTCTCAAACAAACCAAATGAGCATCCATTGTTGCATTTGCTTTGCATTAATAGGAGCTGCACTTTCCTGCACTTTGTTATACCTGCATAAATGCCTTCCAGGTGTAATAATGTTAGGAGAGCTGAGACATAGAGAATCTGAAGACACAAGCCATAGGGAACGAAATCTGAGTAGGAATATAACAAAGTGAAGAATAAGGAAAGTGTAGCTCGCCTGTTTTTTTTGCCAGCTGACCCCGCTAGGAATCTGTGAAAGCTTAATAGAAATCTATGAATAAAAAGCGCATCTTTGTCCTTTCAAAGATAAAAAAAAACAAGTGCACCTTTCTATTGGCACTGAAACAGAACAGCAGCATTTTCTGACAGTATCTGTAAGGTGAAGGAGCTTGTTAGGCCACTCCATTGAACACTGGCCAGGGAAGACTAAAGAGATGGATAACCAATAGCAGACTATGGTACTAAGGGAAGACGTGTCCTTCAAAAACAACTATGTGAGAAATTTGTAAAATTTCATATAAGGTTTTATACAGTATACCGTATGTCATTTTTACATCTTAGAATATAACAACAAAATGTTAGGAAAATAAAATCATCAAAATTTAGAAAAAGTAGATATTAATAAACCATTTAACAATCCATTACATTTAAGGTAAACCAGACTTTCTTCATGTCTTATTGTTGTAAAATTGCTTTTGAACATTATCCTCCATCTATTCTATCCACTGCAAAAAGGAACTATTTTTGAGTTTCCCTTTCCCAAATAAAGGAACAGTTATTTGTGAAACAGTCAATGGAATGTAATGTGCTTGCTCCTGGTTTTCAGTACTTTTTCTTTGCTGTTGACCTCGAACGGAGAACACAGCTGCAAGATAAGTGACTGCCTCGACCCATTTCACAGACATGTCTCCGGGAGTTATCTTTCTGGTTTTAAAAAAAGTGTGAGAATGAAGAGAAGGAGGTGGTGATGCACCCAGAGTTCAGGCATTGTTCTGCCTAGATGTTATATTAATATAGCAGAACTGATTGGCATTTCCTTCCAGTTAAGATTGTGTAAGTCAGTATAAAGAAAGGTAGAGAAATAATTCTTTGTTTTTCAGGAGGTAAAGATTTGGATCATGAACCAAGAGACCCAGAGTGCTCCATTTGTGTGTGAATATGACTGATAAGAGAATATAGTATCTTCTTAACAGACTTCTGCCACTGAGAAATTGTCTCCTCAGCCAAGTTCAACATCAGTGAAACAGAATTTTGCTGTGTAACTGCCCCTTACTGGAAAAAAAACACCCACTGAAAACACCAACCTGTACCAACAGTGTAAATCTTTTTTTCAAAATAGAGTAGCGATACGTGATGTTATTAACATTATAGAAATTTTACTTCGTAAAAATTCGAAACTCATAACTTTACAAGAGATTGCATACAGTTTTATATGCATATTACAGGAAAATAAAACATTAAGTACACATTAAATGAAACACATCAGCATTCAAGTTCTACTGCCTGTACCCTTTCATCTCATTTCTCAATCATCTGACAGACTACATTTACGTACAGTTTTTTTTATACACACTACAATGCCATGGACATTATTCTTAAGTAAATGGCTGTCGCAGCCTCTTCCCTTTTTGCTCTTTCTCCTTTTCACTGATGGTATTTTCATTTTCATCTCACTTCAAAATAAGAATTTTTTCTCTTAAAATTTCCAAGAGTCTTCCAGAGTGGCAGATCCAGCAAAATCTATGCCTCCACCAAAAGCACAGAAAGAGTGGCGCAGCAGTGACCGCCTATCTGAGGAGTGGCATTGTGGAAGCTAACAAATCAGGCAGAGCGCTAATGAGAGAGAGAGAGAGTGGGTTACCAGCACCTGTGCAACCTGTTACCGACATGGTGTCGGGGATCTGCGAGGAGCACACAGGAGTTACGTCCGTCTCCCCCCAGCTGACGGAGAATTCTGCAGTGCAAAATGTGGAGTTGTGCGTGTCTTTTGTTCCCAGAGGTCAATGGAGGTGGTTTAGGCTGAACAGCAGTTGGAAAAATTCCATGTACATGTAGAAAATGGAAAGCAAAAAAAAAAACTATTTCAAAATTGTCCGCAACTGAAAAATGCCCAATCATATAAACACTTTCTTGTAGCTCTTCCAACAACACAGATATACAAATACGCACAACATGTCATGGGGTTCTAAGTTCCAGACATTATAACTCTTGCCTTGTGCCTCTGAGCACTGTCTCTGCTGGTCTGTCACCCTGGTCCTCGGCTAACCATTTATGAAAGACAGAGACTGGATCGATGTTCCAGTGCTTGTGAAAAGAAATGGGAACTTGGTGGGCAAGAAAGTCCTTTGCGTAATCTTCAGGCCTTGCCTGTGGAAAAAAGTACACACAGTAAACAAAATTAATTGTGATGCTCAAATCCTGTTTACTGAATTTATGAATATATAGAGGATGACGGTAAGAATGGCTTTCAAAATTCTTTCAGAAAGTGTTTTCACATTTTACTTCTTATTCTCTTTTTTCTAACTGCCGTAAGGCATTAGGATAAGAGGTTTAGGTTAAGAGCAAGTCAAGAAGGAATTATTGTTAATGTCTCCCCTGGAGTTACGTGGAATGGAATTCCACATACATTTTCAATACTTCAAAGCACACATCTTTATTTCATAGAGCACAGTTAAAAGAGATTTAAGCCTAATAGTTTAATTTACTTTGCACAACAAAACAATATTTTAAAGCCTACCCAGTTAGTCAATAAGTTTGCTTTCTAGCTATGCATGAATAACCTGGGAAGGTGTCACTGCTGATTAAAAGCATAAGAAATTGACACAATAAGTGATCAAGTGTTTAAGTGTAACACTTGCACACGCATTATGTACTGTAGTTCATACAGTAAGTAATCTCTCCCTGAAAAATCAAAGCAAGACTGTACTCTGCTTTAGTCAACAGTCAGCAGTCTGCTTCAGGTATAATGTATACCAGCTGTACTAAGCTTTAGCACTTAGCTGTACTTAATTTTGTCCTTGTTCAAGGAGAGTCAGCCCTAGGCTAAAATGTAACATTAGAACATCACACTCAATATCAGAACATGAAAAGTGAATTTACAACAGCACTTTACTTCGAGAAGACTGATTTTGTTAAAGAACCACAAGAAGTAAGCAGTAGAAAAACAGAAAAAAAAACAAAACATAAAAATCAGATCTTTCTGTGAACTCATCCCTGGGATCAAACAACTAAACCACTCACTTTAAATGTAGTAACCTTCATATACAATTTCACAGCCTAGCATTATTTTCAATAATGAATCTCAATTACTGTACATAATTAAGGAGTGATAGGCAGATTCCTTTCAAAACATGACATGAATAATTCAGGAACAGTCTAGGGAGCAAGAAGCGCGTGCCATTTCAGTTATCTTAAGTAACCAGATGAACCTTCCCCATAGAAACAGAAATACAGACTCAATCTACATCAGAGAGGTCGGGTGTGTGATCATTTACACTAAAGCACAATGTGACACATTCACATGCAATCTGTAATTCCTCTCAGGAACCTCTCTTTCCAGTACACAAATGAGAAGAAGAATCCCATTACATTGCTTTAGAAAAGGAATCATATTCCAACTACATGTTTTGTAATAATGCAATATTTTAACCTGACCCTCACCCAGAGCACTTTTTGTTAAATATTTACAATATATTTAAATTTAAAAGTTTGTTTCTGATTAACTTTCCAGTAAAATGGAAACATCATTTAAGTCACGGAATTCATACACCAGATTTTGCTTTTAGCTATTAAATGTATCGCCATTCCAAATGCTTGGACTCATCAATCTAAAATAACATTATATAACTGAAACATTTTTTAGGTTAAAAAGCAGAAAAAAGGACTCAAACATGTTTCAATCACAAATGGCAGTCTTGAATCAAAGCACTGTCATTGTTTCTTCCCTTAACAAAAAAATAAATCATACTTAAGACCTGAATAAAAAGCTATTTCAGATTTGTTCATTGACGGCGGTAATATTTTATTGCTGTGCGTCAACAGCCCTGTTCTAACACATCTGTGAAAGAACCTAGCATGAACTAAACCCAAGTAATACAACTAAGAACCTTATGTAGGAAATAAATTGAAACATACTGTATAATGTTTTCAGAATTTTACAGTAGGAACCCATTATTTTTTTCTTAAGCATTTTAATCGCTTTACTTCTAAACGTAGTAGAAAAACTAGATTTTTCTGGATGAGGGTAGCTCATACTGAACGATAAACCAGCTCAGAAAAACAAAGAGATGAAGGGGGTGGATACTTTAGTTTCCTGTCCTACATGCAGTCATTTCTCTAATATACCATTTGGATTCTGTCATTATACCTGGTCAATCATCTAAGGACAACTTCTCAGTTACAATGATGACCTGGAGACCCATTTATATACCAGGGAATTTTCTGGAGCAATTTACTTGCAGTAACTTGTTCAAGGGCAAAACAGTAGTTTTCCACCTGGAATTTGAGCTCATGCCCTCAATTTTTAGTCCAGAATGATAACCTACGTTATACTCATATAGAAGGAAGCTAAAAAAAAACATCATATACTGTATATTGACGATCCTTAGCACTACCGGCATGTATTACTTACTATGTACTGTACAGTACGATACTCCCAACTATAAAAAACCCAACAGTGAAATTAAACACGTGCAGACCCCAAGTCAATACACTCCATTCTAATGTCCATAAATTTAGACAGACCATAAACCTAGAAATCCACCAATAATTAACTGCCCTTAGGCATTACAAAATAAATCTACAAACTGACTCAGCGGGGGCTTGACCACATCAGAAGGGACAATACTAAGAATGCATCCCATTGTCCGGGTTACATTCTGTCACCCTATTTTATTTTAAGAATCTTTACTTACAATACTTTTTTTTCTAATTTCATTTCTAATATCATTGCCTATTATACAAAGTACACCCCATACAATTATATGGTTTTACATATTAAGACATATCTGAACTCTGTCTAGTCCTCACCAAGAGTAGATGAATCTAACCTCATGTAACAGATAACACAAATTTTACTTTGTCAATATTTATTTAACAAAAAAAAGCTGATCATCAGGAAGTGTTTCCCTAAGTCCTTTATGCAAATATAGTGGAAGGAATGTCTCATCTCTGCCACCTAGTGGCCCCACTCTGTTTCCACTTCCTAAACCTGGCCGCCCCATTATAGTACCCTTAATTACCCCAGAATTTCTCTAGCATCACACAGCCCATGTACTAGTCTTTTCGGAAAAGCAGGGTGAAACTGATAAGACCACGCTGGTGGATGACCATTTTGGCCATGGCAGCCATTGAGCAACTGACAGGGGAACCCAAGCCTGGCAGGAGAAGAAAGAGCTGGACAAGTTACCTGATGAAAGAGTGGACTGTGTGTCACAGGGACTCCCATCGCGTTGAAGCACATCCCCAGGACCATATCATCAGGGGCGTCGTTACTGTAGCACTGACAGCCGCTGCCCAGCAGCCTCGCCACTGCCACTCTGCTGAACACCATCCTCAGCAAGGAGAGAGGGAGGTGAACACCGTCATTTTAAAGTCAGGCTTTAAAAAAAAGGGCTATGACTTTCTTCTCAAGCACAGCAAAGAGTCACAGGAATGACATCCGATCACCTTCCTAGCTTCCACTGTGTTCTGAAACCAACTACGTGCCTAAGGGCTAGATCGAGGGTTTACTTATGACATTCACTGCAGAGCTCATGAGCAGTTGATCAGTCACAACTGTGTCAATCATTTTAAATGTCTTCCTGCCTCAAGAGCAGTCTAGTATATTTTGTCATCCAGAAGCTCTTTCTACACCATCATTATTCCAATTGGGGACATTGATGTGGTCATCAATAAAACAGTAACTTACCCACCTCCTCCGGTGATGTAGCTGTAGCCCCCTAATCCCAGTCCATAGCCGTAGCGCTCTCCTAGGCAGATTGGCTCACTAGGATTGTAGCAGCTCAGCAGTTTCTGCAGTCTTGGGATGCTTTTAAGAGACATTGGTTGAATTAGTATTGCTGAACTCATGCTTTCAAATGTACACTTTCACCATCCTGTGCCAAAGTTGATTTAAGAATTCACCATTTCCTCAAAATGGAAGCAAACAAATTAATGTTAACCACAGGGACATCCTGTTGGTCTTCTGAGTTACAAATCCCATTCTCTATGTAAGGTAATACGCATTGTAAAATGTATGTGATATACAAGTGTAATTTACAATGCATTTACATCATACTGAAAGCAACAGAAAAGACATTGGGTGTTTCCAAAAAACAAAAAGGACTTAACAACATATCCGAATGTAAAAGGTATTTTTCACTCTACACTGACCCTGGCAATGGATGCAAGTAACACCAAGTAACATGTTTCAAAGCCGTACTAATGATATTCCAGACTAATGTGCACAATGTTTTTGACACCACTTAAGAGAGACTCAAAGTAGTTTTATGAAAAGCAAACATTGACTTGCATAATTGTACTGGAAAATGTGTGTGCCATTAAAATACAAGAAGCAAATTGCTGCTTTTTATGGACGTGAAGAATAGGCAACATCAATAACATGATGCAAGTGTGTCATACTGTAAATGTCATATCACATTTGTTCCTTTTGAAAACTTTGATTTTCTGAATTTGAACTGAATGAAAAGCAAACATGGACTTGCATAATTGTACTGGAAAATGTGTGTGCCATTAAAATACAAGAAGCAAACTGCTGCTTTTTATGGACGTGAAGAGTAGGCAACATCAATAACATGATGCAAGCGCATCATAAATGTCATATCACATTTGTTCCTTTTGAAAACTTTGATTTTCTGAATTTGAACTGAATTATCTGCACTGCAAAACGTTGCTAACATCATCTCCTTAATTAGGAACAAGTAAAGGTTTATTCCATGCTGAAAAGAGAAGAAATTAACACTTTTTTTGGCTGTGGAGCCTTTTTCAGGTTTGACACAACAGGTTTGTTGTGTTTCTTTTCTTCTCTTTTCAGCATGGAATAAACCTTTACTTGCTCCTTTGCAGCCTACACATGCTGATGCAGCTACCTACCTGATCTACTTACTTAATTGATAATGATCTAATACAAAATTCAACCAAACAATTAAGGTACGGTTTTACTGCAGTTAAAGGGTTACAAGCTGAGTACAGTAGCTATGATTCATGGAATATATTTTGTCACATTTTTTATAATTTTCATCTTTAATAGCCTTGATAGAGACCAATTCTAAATCGGTCATCAAATACCACACTGTTTCTCTCTCTTTGCTTAAACATATACAAAATAGTGTATTCATACTATCAACTGAGAACACAGGAGAAGAAGCACTGTGGGTTGTAAGCAGTAGTGGAGAATTTGTACACAGTTTCATTCTCTCTTGATTGCACAGGAAGCCCTAGTGGCAACATCTCCCATGTAATGAATGAAAAATGAGAAAAGCTGACGACAGATTGCTTGCAAGTTGAATGTCTGTAGAGATTCAAGTTCAGTGGGATGAAAGTAATTATTTTAATAGTATTGTTGTAGAATCACTGCACATACAGTAGCACTTGGGATATCTTTGTTTTGCTGTTTTTTCTATTGAGTCACAGTTATCACAAAGAGAACCAAACTCAATAACATAAGGCAGGTGGTTTATATAATGTCTCCTTTGCCATTTTACTTTCTGAAAGAAAATGGTGGGGTTTAATGTGCAAAACCATGACATTGTACCTGATGAGCGTATCATCATCCACAATCAGCAGCCAGTTTGTCTTTGGGGCAGATTTGCTCACAAATCTCTTCAAAATAGCAAATGTCTTTCCACAGTGCCCTGGGAAGAAAAAGCCAAAATGTTACAAAGGAATGATCTTCCAAACGGCACAAAATCAGGTAATTAACGCAAGCTCAAAATCCCCACTGCATGCTCTGGCCCCAACAATGCAATCTATTGAATTTACATCCAAGTATGAAAAGACTAGGAGCGAAAATGACTGCATTACTTCGGTGAAACTGCCTAGCGGCCGTGCATATGCTCCACTAGTTTTCTGCTTTGCACAAGCCCCTTATCAGGCAAAAATGTTAAGTTATTTAAATGCTAGTGTTGAAGCAAAAGAAATCACCATACACCAATGAACAATGCGCTCTAGGCTTTTGCAAACCACAGGACCTAGTGTACCAGCAGTTACCCAAGCGTGCACTGGCAATGAATAAGGAATGCAAGTATTAACTGTGAGTTGGTTTGCTAGTTTTTAAAATGGGTCCTACTCATAGTGGCAAAAATTACTAAAAATTCTGAAGCAGGACATTCAAAGAAGGTGTGGATGTTGACTTCTAAACCAGCAAAAATGAATTCTTACATGCAGAAAAGAGGGTCAAAGCTGAATATAAGAACAAACTAGAAAATAAATCCAATCACTAATGACAGTCGAGGTGTCTGGTGAGGCCTTCAACTATTCACTGACTACAGGGAGAAACAAATGGCTCCAGGTGACAATCCCTTTCTGCCACACAAGCTGAATGAACTGTTTGTTGCACAAACCAACATGCTGAAGACCACTCACAGTGGAGTCCCTCCAGCCATCCTTTATCATTCAGGAGCATGATGTAAGATGATTTTTCTGCATAGAGAACAGCAGGAACGAATCTGGCCCTATCTTGTTTGAACTGCTATACTGAAATCTTGTGGCACTCAGCTTGCTCTTATCTTTAGAGATATTTCCAATCTATCCCTTAAGCAGGCTAAGGTACCGCACTGCTTTAAGATGAGTACTATAATACCAGTACCTAAGAAATCCACTGTGAGCTACGCAAAGACTACAGACCAGTAGCCTTGACGTCTGTTATTATTAAAGTTTTTGAGCAACTCAGCCAATTTTAGTGTTCACTTGGACCCATGCCAGTTTGCCTACAGAGAAAGCACCCAGCATGTACTGTATGCTGTGATCCGCCATATTAACTATAGTCCTGCTTTTAACAGAATCATCTCTCAAGCCTTTTGATAAGCTAGCAGAGGTGGGAATTAACCAGACCCTGTGTTATTGGTTACTGGATTTCTATTCTGACAGGAAGCAGGTGGTGAACCATCTCTAAGCCTCTCACCCTGAGCACAGGTGTCTTTGGGGTTGTGTCTTATCACCTCAGTAAAACACAAGAACTTGTGATGGACATTAGGCGAAGAACGGGTGCACTCTGACTACTATACATCAATGGTCAATCTGTAGATGTGGTAGAGAATTTTAAGCTCCTGGGCACCACCATCTCTGAGACTGTATAATGGGAGGTCAACACATCCATATACTCAAAAAAAGCTCAGCAGAGTCTGGTCTTTCTGAGACCATTAAAAACCTTTAGAGTCTCACAGGCAGCAAAAACCTGTTTCTGTAAATCAATCATTGATAGTGTTTTGACCTTCTCCATTAGTGCATGGTAGGGCAACACGTCTGCCCAGGACAAAAAGCAGCTAGAAAGAACAGCATACATCATCTCCAAAACTATAGCATGTCATCTACCCTCTGTGGACCCCATCAGCTTCTCTAGACAGAAATGCAAAGCATTGAACGTTTTGCATAGCTCATTGTTATTTTATCAGGTCTCACTGTTATTTATATTATCACTGTTGTGTGTTTAGGATGGTGTCTGAAGATGTGTAGGGTGGATGCTGTTTATTATTGTTTTATCTTGTGTATTTGCATGGTATGTATTTTTGTATTAGCTCTCCAAACCAAATTCCATGCACCTAGTTATTAGGGCAACAAAATACTGAAGTTGAAGTTCAAACGCAAGATGGAAATAAAGTGCCAATATTATAAATCAAGAGAAAATCAAAATTGGCCCTTTTACTGGATTTTGCAGATTTACAGTTTGTGTTGGCTTTGTACTGTATGACTTTCTTCTCGTGGTTTCAATTAACTGAAGAATTGTTTTTTGGGGGGGCAACATTTTCTGTAATTTCTTGAGTGTATATTCCAATGCTTGGTAAGATTCTGTTACAAACAGCTCCTTAGTATTCTGTCAAAGACACTTAAATAGAAAGTGCCTTCTTTGCAACTGAAAGCAATTGCTGGAGGGCATGTCACTTATTGGTCATCATAGACTAAATTAACTGAAAAAAACATACAAGGATTCAGAGAAACCAAAGACTTTTTGATTTAAAAAATGATGGAGAGTGAAACCACATCTGCATAGTTAAAACTGAATAACGGAAAACTTACTGTAGTTTCACAGCCACTGGGATTTACGGCTTTTACAGCCATAAAGTATATGCTAACTGAAATTAAAAATCTAGTTAATTCTGCCTCAAAGTGTAGAGCCAAACAAAAGAGAAATGTTTCTTTTTTAAACTTGCAACAGTCAGCTTATAACCTTGCACAAATGTTTCTAGAAAGAAAACTGATGGCTTATCAGTGAAGGCGATGGAAAGGAATAAGACCTGGAGAGAATTACATTTAGCACAAAATGTCTGCTTGTCAGAGAAAGAGACCAGACCTGTAAGGTAGAACAATACACCCTAGGAAATGCTAACCAAAAGTAGACAGGAAGAACACCAAAAATTAATTATAATGTATGATGACAAGGAGATCAAATACAAACAAAATGTAGACCATAAATTTAGGGAACACTAATACATTTTTTGGTTTGGTTTCAAAACAAAAGACCTAAACCTACCTATGTATATCTACAAAAGTGAGATAATCTACTGCATGGTCTATTCTGCAAACACAGAGCATTTTAAGCATCATACCAAGGAAGGTTCAGGCAGGTCCTTTTAGTGTTACCTTAAAACTTGCCATGGCAACTCATGTTCAGTTAAACCCAAGGACAAAGCTATGCCTATCTATAAGTGTAATGTAAAGACAAGATTACACTAAAGCTACTTAAGCAAGAGAAATCTCCACAGCAACACAGACCCTTTTCATCAGTTAGTTGCTAGGAATATTTTGCAGAGAATTGTACAAAAGATCAAGAGCCTTTCAAGTGAACACCACCTGTTTGATGTTTGATGAACACATTAACACAGCATCGATAAAGATAATTATAGCAATCAGTCATTTTAATGATGAAATAGACACACCGGTGGAAATTTTCAGACATGTGAATGTGGTTTCCTAGGACTTTCTTTAGACAAACGATTCTTGTGACAGCTTTTTTACTTATCTTCTTAGTTACCATCTCCGAAACTTCACCTCCCTTAATTTGAAGGCTCATTTTTGTATTGAATATTTTGCTTTCACAAATATTTCCCATAGTTTCATCTAAATTTAATGTTTTCCTGTATTAGATTATGAAAGTATCATGATTCACAATTGCAGTCACTGAAAAGGGCAGTATTGCACAGCACTTGTAAGCATTAACTATGGTATATCATGGTATTATGAGAGGCCAGTGCAGTACGGCACAATAAACCAGGTTAAAATCATAAGAACGTATTACTGAAAGCAAAGTTAACAGTCTTTAAACAGAAAATAGAAATGAAATGAATACTGTATTATACCATTAAACAATATATTAACCTGGTAAAGATCTATAAGACATCATGTATTATATGTACTTAGTGACATTTAACTCTTCCTTTTAATTTTTCACCAATATTTAATGATGATGAAAATAACAAATGTGTTACAAAGGCACTGCAGATCTACATAAAATGGAGAACAATGTACAAAATTTCTAACTGCCAGGTGATAAAAACCATGTTCACTATTTTATGCAAAGTATCTGCTTAAGTTATTAAATACTGCATGTGTATGGAAGTTATTAAGTACACAAGTTTTCTACTCCCCAGGGCAGTCAAAACGTTCCATTATCAAAAGCTCAATAATGAATCAAATTTCTCTGTCTGTCTCACTGTCCAAGATCCAAGGTAGCTTTTGTTGCCAAAATACAGGTAGCCCTGAGCAACGCCTTGCAGGACACTGTTACCAAAACAGCATTGTCCGGTATGCATCAGAACTTTGAGCTTCTTGAAAATTGGTGGCAAATTATTATTATGGTCACTTACGACTTCAGGATAATCAGGGCCAGTGTATCTGGTTTCATTACAGAATGTATTACATGTGTTCCACTTATTTCCTTTTAACATATGTGCAATTAGAACAAAATAAAAGAGAAGGAGGAATAATAATTCCATTCTTATGCTGGAAATTTACGGAACAATAGACATGCCTCAGTCAGCGTGCTTCAATAAGCTGAATGAATCTTTCAGCTGGAGTCAGTCTTAAGTGGTTTGTGTTCAGAGTGCAGGTTCATCTCCACAGCCCAGAGTTCGATCCCCAGTCATCTCAATTAGACAACCGTGACCACAAGTCCCCAAGCAATGAAGCACAAGGAGCAGATCACGTGCCTCATTCTCTCCTGAGCAGTGCAGGAGTCGTTGCTGGAGATCTGAGTACAGTATGTACAGTAAGTACACTACACATAATGGTGATTACACACTCAGGAAAAAAAAATAAATCTACAGAGCGACAGAAAAATTATCGAAGACAAGGATATGAAAACAAACTTTACCCAAGGTCAAATGCTTTTCAAACTCAAACTCTTACAATTTTTCTTCTAAGACTATTAAGGCTGAACATAGCAGGCAAAAAGAATCACAAAGCTTAAATGACACAAGTCTCTAGAGCACAGTCACTTCTGTAAAGACGGTGAAAAGATGCTCAGGTGACTAAAAACTAAACCCATTTGATACTTTCTTCACAAACAAATTAGGCAAGCAAAGAAACAGAAGGGGCTTTTCTCCTCCGGGACTGCTTAATTGAGTCATTCGAGAGACTGAGGCAGATTAGGAATACAGAATTCCCAAGTGGAGCGTTTAAAAAACAAAACGGTAGTCACAGGTTTAAATCTCTAAATCCCACATCCTGCTACACCATTTGCAAAAGGAAATCCAAACCTCCAGCCTATGAAGGCTAAAAAATGCTAACATTAGAGATATTAAATAAGCTAATAAGCTGTTTTAGTAAATGGCAAAAAGGATATAAAGAAAATAAATCTCCAGCTAGATCTTATGTTTAGCTGGAGAATGTCTACCTGTGCAATTAGGCATGTTTCATAACAAAAATATGATTAAAAAAAAACTATGACAGTTCGACAAGGTAAAAAAGGTAACCAATAAAAGAAAAGAAAGATCTTATTTTGCTGCATCATTTTCAAATACATTCTTGAAATCCACTCTACACAGTGCAAACAGAACAGACCAAAAGGCAGACCTTGAAAGACATGATAATGTCTGCTCTGATAGCAAGGCTTAGTATTTTGTTCCAGAGTCAACTTTGTACTCAATATTACTATTTAAGAAACATTTGTTATGGTAGCTTTAAGAGGGCCTTATGCATGGAGTCTTGCTTCACCCTTTTTTCTTCTTATCTTTGGAAATAAACCAAAGAAATAAGCCAAGATAGGAAGGGATTTATTTTGTTTGTACAGATCTAACACTAACTTGATTCTTCTTTAAGCCAGCTGCCCCATGGAAGTTAGGCAAATACTAAGCAGAGTAACTGAAACAATTGAATGGCCACACAACAAATTTTCAGAAAAACGTTGTCGGGTTACTCTGCTTTTATTCTACTGAAACATGAAGATGAAAATATTGAAAATTGGAACATGTTTTTCCAAGTAAAAACAAAACAGTAATCTTCCTGGGAAAAGTACTAAGTATGCAACAAATATTTAATTTTAATTTAGAAGGAAGTAATGGGATTCATCAAGTAAAATAGTGGAAGCACTATATCTTGCAAAACTTCCAACTAAAGACACTGAAGGAATAGGATGCTTATATGTAATAAACCAGGAGGAAATGTCTCCATGTATGGTCATTTATATTGCTGGAGCAATTTCTCTTATAATGCCGAGCACTCTGAGATTAAATCTCTTAGATGAAGTGTGTTTCATTCTTCTCCATGAATAATTCGCTGCTTGTTCTTCCAAACAACGTTCGAGTTGAACAATGTGAGTAATGACATTCAAGCAATTCTTGCTTTACAAGATTTGACTTGGAAAGCATTGCTGCCACATACGGATATTCGACGGGCAACTTGTTAGCACTCCAAGACACAACAATAATCTGAAATGAGTCAGTTCATAAATAAAACACAACGCGTGGCATAATTCAAATGCTTAAAGCAATCCTGTCTATCAAAAGATTGGAAGGACCAAACTCCAATAGGTGAATTGAGAAAACAGGAGAGAGAGACTGGTATTTCCTGATAATGCATTTTAAAACTTTTTTAAAGTTGTATGTTATTTAACTTGTTGCTGCTGTTCTGTGTTTATGTTTTTGGTGATTCCTTTAATGTCTTTGTATTGGAGCATACATGCAAATAAGCATTTTATTGCACTTGTGTATATGACAAACCAAACTGAACTGCTTGGAGAACAGTACAGGTATATACTCCTCTATTGTTATTGTTGTATTGTTGTAATTATAATTGTGTCCTATCTTGTGAAATCTTCTTATTTATTGTTGTAGTCTTCTTATTTGTTATTGTCATCCTGTAAAGCGCTTTGAGAAGCCACCTTTAAAGGCGCTATATAAAATAAAGTTTATTATTATTATTATTATTATTATTATTATTATTATTATTATTATTATTATACATTGTGTAAAGCGATAACTTTGTACCCGTTGGATTGACGACCAGTAATGAGGCTGGATTTATAAATTCCAACAGAAATGTTGATGAAGGCAACAATTTGGACAATTGACAATTTGGAGGCAGATTTTCCATACTATTAAAATAAGGAAAACAGCATCGCTGTTTATGAGAAGAGCAAGGAGACCTGCAGTACTGTATGTTTTAAAGCTGGGTTGCTCAGGCACCAGCCTTTCCAAGTTCTGTTGTTCCATTTCTATTGTCCCAGATGTCTCTTGCAACCTTCCCTGCACTGCCAGTCCTTCTGCTGAGGAGTGTGTGACTTCACATAATTGCTCCAGCCATCCAGAAGAAGCAACAAATCACATCTCATGATCTCATTAATTGAGAGGGGATGGAATGTAACCCAGCAGTCAAAATATGCTGCAATCCTACTGTATGTGATTGAGTACATCACGCATCAGCACCACCTGGCTTCCATTTGCTACCAACAGTCTTGTGAAAGATGAAACAAATATAAGGTTTGGACTCTGAAATGAATTTCCAAGCCAGATTTTCTTTATACCAATGGTTGACAGGTATGTTTTTCTGACGGCTTTCATTAAACAACAACAGTAATGTTAACATTGTATACACGTTTGTATTTTTCAAATTTTACAACGCTTAAGTAGAATACAAATTAAAAAATAAGCTACACCATTCTTTATTAATGAAGTAAAAGTACTGTAAGTATGTTCCAAAAAAACTGCACCAAACCTAAAAGTCAGAATCTACAAGTCTCATTCCAGCCAACAAAATTTTGATTTGAGGATTCTCAAAATCAAATCTTATCAATCCATTTGAATCCAACTATCAATCCAACTATCTGAAAGTTGCTGATTCCTGGTCAAGTCACAAGGATGGGATGCCAGTCCATTGCTAAACTGTGTTAAACACACAAGAACCTAAGACAACTTAAAGGAACAAAATAAATAACCACTATGTCTTTGGAAGGTCAGTGGAATATACCAAATCCATATAAAATGTGTTGATCTAAAAATAATACAGTACCTAAGACCTATGAACTATGAAAGAGTAGTGCTAACTCTTGGCACTGTGCTCTCTTTCATGCATTTATGACATGATTTATTCCTGTAGCACCTTCAGTTTGACCAAATTTAGGTTTTATTGTCTTGCTCTCTGTAATTCAACTATTGTTTTGTAAACTACATCATTTTAGCACAGTATTAATAAAAAATCGGGACTCTGGTACTCCCAATATTTCTGTGTTCTGTTGTACCTCTGATAATCAGTATGCATATTATATAGTTTTCTAATAAAAAAAATACTATTTTAATTGTAATTATAAAATTAGTTTAATTGTAATTATAAAATTGACCATTTTATAATACAAGAATGATTATAGATGTATCTATTTAAAATCTACACCTTTTTCAAGTGTTACATGCTTGTTAACTTCAAGACCCCAAAAGAAACACTTTTTCTTACTCAGCTATATAGCAACTGCGTGTTGTGTAAATACTGTACTTTAATTAAGGTGTCCTCAGCTTTTCTACAAAGGTTTCAAAGCTACAGTATATTATCTTTAGCTGCAGACTCATTTCACGACAACAGCTGCAACTTCTGATATTTTTAAATTAACAACCATATAAAGCTATGTGCTACTGCGTCTTGGCAATTTTCAGAAATTCAGATTTCTGACTTGCCTCTCTCTGTGTTGGGCACCCCCAAGTCTATGGTTGGTATTGAAGAGTCTGCGTAATCACTGTAGTACTCAATCAAAGCAGCATGTTTCTCCCAGGTCTTCTTCACAACAGGAACTGGAAGAAAATAAACAATGTTAAAGCTCTCTTACTGTTTTGAAATGAATATGTTTATTTTGGTTGGTGGTACAGTATGTGATGAAACTGGAATTTTGAGTGAACGTAATTGCCTTCTTAACTGTCCCGAGAGCTACAGTTTTACTGCAATCGTCTGGAAGTTGTCTAACAGTACCATAAAGGGCTTTTCTTCATGGGTCCTTACTTCAATAGTGATTGCCCAGTCACAACCAAACAGTATAACACAAACAGTACAGAGCGATACAGTATATACTGTATATACAGATGCCATTCAATTATTAATTATAATAAAATTTTGTGCAGCAATCTGAGTTCTTCAGCTTCAATTCACCTTCTGTTCTAACAAAACAAGCAGACTAACTCACAATTTTAATCTACAATTTAAAGCTGAACTGTCAGCGGGTACAAAATGACCTGCAGTATTGCACATTAGTGAAGCTTAAATGTTATGATGCCTTGCATTCTAAAAACAAATAATTTCCAGACTCATTACTCTTGTATCAGCCTGTTAGATGACGAAGCTTCCCAGTGCTTTTAAGAAGCTCACTAATTATTACGATTATCATTGCAATTAGTAGACAACAGACGTGTGCTTTACATTTTCATTATTTTGTGATGTGCTTCTGACCTTCATGGACACAAGATGCATCTTTTATTCAATGTTTATTCAAATGTTCTTTTCGATGTACCAGGACCTCTTAATGTTTACCATTTCAGCAAAGGTTAGCACTTGTTTTCTCACAGATACTAAAATAACCACTAAAATTTTGCTGACATCAGGTTGCTCTGATATTTCTGTCTTAATGAAGATTTCTCTTTCAGATTCAAACTTGTTCTTTTTTTACTTATAATGGAATGTATTTCTCTGGTGGCATTTTACTGCCAAGTGACAGATCTACAGTAAAGCTGAATAACATTATGTACCAGCTTAGGTCCTTTGATCACTGATTTGAAGAGTCTGGCAGCCATTTAAAGCAGCTGGCCAAGACACAAACCACAGATATTTGAAAATACACATAAACAAACCGAAAATTTATAGACAATGTTTTGGGGTTCTTAGCAGTTTAATTTGTATCATTTGTAATCTACTGTGGTGGAGTTTCATTTAATTTAACTCTATTGTATTTTGTAATACAAATGACATTCAGGATCAAATATGATCCAGAAGATTTTCAGAAGGCAAACACTAATGATTAAAAAAAATTAAAATGCAAATGCCAATTGTCTGAAAGCATGTCTTTCTTCTAGTACAGCTTCCTGCAGTTATACAATCTTCACCACCTTAGAAAACCTGCCATCTGTTTTACCTGGGTACAGGCAGTTACCATCTCTAATTTGCATACATTAAAAGTATTTAATAAAAAAATGTTGATGAAACGCTTTTTCTGGCACGCAAAAAACTATGTACCCAACAGCTGGAAGGTAAAAATATGGTCTTGTCAAGTGGAAGAGTTTAATGTTGTTTTATTTTATTTTCATGTGATTGATTTGTTGGTGTCTCATATACTGTAATCAAGGTTAATGTAATGTTATAAGGACTGAAAAGAGAATTATTTAATGGTACAGTATAATCAGCCAGCTCAACAGAAGAACTGCAGGACAGCCTTGTATTTAGTCAAAGATTGTTGGTCTTGAAGGTGGAACCTCTGGCTGCTTCGGGATTAAGGTGACAATGTGTCTTGTTCCACACTCCTTAATTATGACCCAATCAATGTAATTAATGCTATTATTTTGTGAACCAAAAGGTTTTTCCACAATTCCAAGTTTGAACGCATGTAATTCAGAGTATGAACTAGTCCCCAAAGTATCCCCTTACATTTGCGTAATTTGCATGACTAGCAATTTTTTATATTTATTATATGTTGCATTTTGTAATTTAATGTAAGTTAATGTGAATAAGAAATCTTAATAATTAATTGCACTCAGCTGTGATCATGAATAGTTACAAAGCAATTTCAGAGAAAGGTTACGAAGGTTTTAGTATTTCCCAACAATGCATTCTCTCCTTGAGGCATGTTATCAAATACGTTTGCTTCTGTCTGAGATTCTCTCAAAATAATGATCACATTGTTACATGCAGACTACGTTGGAAATAAATGCCAATCTCTTTGCTTGAGCACATTTTTAGCCCATGCAAAACAATGGTTTTTAAATAAAGCATTACATGAATTTTTGTTTTAAATAATTGAATGACAATGGACAGTTTGTACATGGGCTACAAAGAAGGGGAGGACTATGGTAACAGAAGGTTTTTATTTAGGAAGCACACTTTGCTTAGAAGTGCAAAATAAAGAGACCTTGAGTGGAGCCAAGGCAGGGATACAGTGTAACAGCCGGAAGACCTAACACAAACTTGGGCCGTCTATGATTGGACTGAATGTTCCGGACTCAGGCAGAGGGAGCAGTCTCCCTCAACACGCAGGTATGGCGTGCCAAACACATGTAGATCCCAGCAGCACACAAGCTACAGAGTCCCGTCTGCTGCCTTCGTGGAGCTTTGATTTTTCCGTGCTTTATAGAGTACATACTGTATAGGAGGACCCACGTCGTCAAGGGAACCTCCAAAATGCAATATCCACCTGGGTAATGTTTGGCAGCCACTATATGCTTATGGGCCCAGCAGATCAGGTACAGAAAAGAGAAACTACTTCACCTACTTTAGTATTTCCAGTATGTAAAACCCAAAGTGGAATTTAGCCAGGTCATGGCTCTGTAAAAGGCTGGACCTGTGATTTTACTCGTACTGTAAATAACTATCTCTGTGTTAGTTTTTGGTTGTCATCTGTTCTCCTCTGAAAACACACTGCGTCATCAGCAAAGAAGTTGTGTGACTCTCATCGGCCTTTCTTGACTATAGGGAGAAGCTCTATTCTTTTTTATACAATTTCTTACTTGGTAAGCTGGTGTCAAGACCTGATTTCTAATGAACCTGATAATACACTTTGGCACATGAACCCATCTATCCTGGAGGAGCTGCTTCTTTGAAACAAAAACTATTACAATAACATATTGCATACAGTATATGACAAATAACGTTGTTTCCAGACTTAGTTCCATCAAGTGGAATGTACCCAAAAAGGGCAAAATACTATCCAATAATGTCTTCAGGAACAATAAAAAAAGAAACACAGAGTTTTGTAAGACTTGATTCTATTAAAACAAAACCAGTAAATCATTCCTGAAATACTAGGTTCTTGTGGTTAAGAACACTGCAGCTGCAAATTCTCATTTCATGTTGTGGGAAGTCAGCTTTTGTTACTGCTTGGTTTCTGAAGGCAGTGGTTTTTACGAAAATGGACAGGAGAATTCTGTGGCTTTAGGTTTGAGACATCCAATGTCGATTCATCAGTTGCTAGTGACATCCAGTACAGCTGATCAGAATTAAAACTTTTCCGCAGGTAGTTTGGGACTTTTGTTGTATGGCACCGAACGTAGAAAATTAATTTCTCCCTTCACTGAGGAGGTCTTTTAGAATGAATATGTATACAGTCAGAAGGAGATTGAGAAAAGAATCTAAGAGTCATTTGTGGTTTTAGAGAAAGTTGAATTTCGTGAGAGAGAAGTGCCTTCTTTCTTACCAAAAACTCAACCACACATTGAAATCTACCTCTACCTTACAATTCAAATAGCTCACTCCCCATAATTTTCTATCCTTTATTTCATTCTGTTGATGTACGTTTTTGCACATCTGATGTTGTTCTGCACATTACCTGTTACCTTTTGTTGTTTTGCTAACTGCCTGTTGTCTCTGTCTTTCTTTAATTATACAATTGTAATGTTTTTTGTACTACTTATCGTCTGAGTAGCATTTTGTTATACCATATACCTGTATATGAGTATAATGACAATGAACTTGGACTTCAGAAAGAAGAACCTTAGTGTACTAATTTCTTTGAAAAAAAAACACAGTAAAGGAGCTTCTGTAATTCACCTTTGTGTGAAATGACAGGTAGGTTCGAAGGAAGTTTAAGAGTTTACATCTAATAATTGATTAAAAAAACATATACAATATGGTTGATATATGTGTGAGCTAATCCTTTATTCATGAGACTGATTTTGACTGAGAGAAAGCATTTTCCAAATGATCTCAAATTTCCTACATACTGTACTTGAAAATCAAATGAAAAAAAATGTCTGACTGTTCTTAATCAGTTCTTGATAAAATTAGTGATGAAGAGCATGGCATGAAGAATGACCGAACAGCTAAAACACACCATTGTGCAAAAGAATGCTCAGATGGATATCAGTTGTGGTTCTCACTTCATTAAATAGACATTAATGACTCAGAGAAGATCCAGTGAAGGGCAACAAGATTCTTGAGCCCTCAGGGGGAAATCTAATCTAAGTCTTCAAAAATTTAAAAGGAATAAACAAAGCTGGATCTAGAAGATGATGTAAATCGAGTTTATCTGGGGATACAGAAGGTAATGTATAAAAATAAGTACCTAGCAAAATATTTTTATACAGTGATCAGTTCCAGCAGCAATTTCTTAAAGTCCAGCCAGAGAGTTGAGACTTAATCTTTACTGTCCAGTTTAATATGATTATGGTTAATTATGGCAAAGTTTCATGAAATTTAACTGTTGTTCGGAATTGTTTGTCTATTCTTAAGTGGCAAACTCAAAGTTAGTATTGGTACTGCCTCACACTATCTAGGACAGTGATATAGCAGAAGGCCTACTGATGCAAATATTTCAAAGTATCAACACAGTACAAACAACAGTAATTGAAAGATAACAGGGATATGGTTGGTTTCAGCAAGAGAATCTTATTTCTTCCAGATTTTTTGTGAACCTTTTTTTAATTTAGTTTGTAAAGATTCTGATGCCTAAATGCTGAAAAGATCACTGAATTTTCTATATTCATGATTTCATTTGGTTTACTGTGTTCAAATGATCTGTGATTAACCTAAATTAAAGCAAGTGAATGATTTTCAAAAGAGCCTTGTGTTGAGGTAATGTTCACGCAGTTCTCATCATTTATGTAGTGCGAATAGAGTACTATCGCAATTAACCTTCCATGCAATTCAATTTAAATTTGACATTTATTTGTTTGGTTACTACTTAACCTTAAAATTAGTCATTTACCTGCTTTTCTGTCTTGATATACTGTATAGCACTTCAGTTAAATGCTGATTTCAACTAAGCTTGGGTTTTTCATAGATTTCTTTTTTAATTAATCTATTTCATACTACGTTAGCATGAAGGACTACAAGTCTTTTGTTAGCAGAAGAAATGCCTCTAATTCCTCATAGGGATGTAAGGGATCTCAAGATCTTTCAAAATCAAATTCAGTGAAAGTGAACAACATGCTATTCTTTAAGTTGATTACTTACCCCTCTCTTTATGGAACTTTTTGCATGTTTTCACTGCAATAAAGATATCCTCCTTTTTCACAGGATCTCCCTGTAAATAATAATAAAAATATAATTAGAAATGTGAATTTAAAAATTCACAATTCTCGATAGTATTCCTTTCCAGTGCAATGCGCAAATTCTTATGAAAGTATAAATAAAATATTAAATACAGGGTGACACCTCTGCCAATATAAGGTAGATAATATTATAATATTAAATGGCTTTTTTAATGCCTTGCTGTTCGTTTAGTTTGAACCGTCTTGTTTTAGTAAAAAAAAGCCTTGGGTCATTATAAGGCAAAGATGCTCTACAGTCATCATGTACGCTGAAATTCAGTGTGCTTTTTTAAGCTCAGTGTCTGACAAGTTGAATCTATTTTTCTCAGTTGCTGCTGAATCAGTAGGGAATGAACCGCAATAACAAGCAAATGAGACTAATGTCTTCCATTAATTGCCATAGCTTACAGAGCATGTAATTTTGTTCCAAAATTTATGTCCTTTTGTTGAACAACTTTTTTAATGCATAGTGCCATTGTAATGCAAATCCGTAGATCTGTCAGTCATTACTCTGTTCACTCTCAGTATGTTACCTGATAATGTCACTTGCACAAAACATGAAAACATGTTTTCAACAAAAATAAAACTTTCTTTACTGCATTTATGTTTGGTTACAAGTTGCATCGACTGAGGAATGAAAGTATTGCTGTTGTCTATCATTTATTTTAGCCCTGATTTAGAGATTACTTCAGAAGCATGTCTACTCCAGGCAGGAGCTAAATTGTGAACAATGTGCAAAATTCCAGCTGGGGTGATTTATATACAGTAGGACACCTCAGACAAAAGAAAAACAACCAACTAGATTACCTGATGCTTCTGAACACATACAAAAGCATGAAACAATGGAAGCAAAAAGACAGGGCGGTGACTCTGGAAGCAAGCTACAGTAAGTAGCTACTTGATTACAGAAGAAACTATTCTGGTCAGAGATGAAATTACAGCTCGTACTTTAGGTACAGCCAGAGTTAAAGAATCACCTTACAAAATACGCAAAACTGAATTGCTCTTCATGGTACAGTTAGTGACAGCAGTTTTACCATGAATAAATTAATCGAAGTAGTTCAGGTGTTACATACAATGGGGCAATCGAACAGTACTGTTTATACTAATTCTTAAAATATTTAAAATAACATTTTCTCATTACATATTGATACAAAACTATCTGTTTCAAAAAAGACCTTACAATTATGTTTTACAGGACCATTGGCAGTAAGAACCACAGTGCTGTTGCTCTTCTTGTAATTGTTGCTGTTATTATCAGAGCAATCAAAAGGATGGTAATTATTGCAGAACATTTTTTTATTAAAAGGTCTCTGAAATGATATTCAATTTTTTTTACAAATGCAATACTGTTCAGTGAATTAATATCTTGCTTTGGGCATAAGAGAAAAAAGAGTAATGGCAGCAATAACCAACAAAGTTAGTACGAATTTATTTATTTGTTACATCATCTCATCAAACCTGAGGGGAAAGTAGCATGGTAATTTTCCTAAACTTTCAAAATGTGTGCTAGGAAAACATTATGATTTTTATGTGATTTAAGGTCCCATAAGAAAATAAGGTATGATTGTTTTTTAAGAATCAATTTCCTTTCAACTGAAAACACAACTTCGCTTTTAAAATAATTGCTGTGTTTTGCTTCCGATTTCTCTTGCTTTGTGATCTCCTTTCATCACCACATTTTAAGTCCCTGGCACGTCTGCTTGTCACACTGTGACTTTTAAGCTGGCTTTTATATTATGTATTGTTACAAAATCATTCTGAAAGACAAGCAGGACTGCTTTTAAAGTGAGAGATGAATATTGATACTGAGCCATCTTGAGGTTTCTACCACCTGAGGGCATGCTAAGAAATGCATTTCTTTCATTTTTATATACAGAACTTGGCAAAGTGAAGTTTTTTATCTGAATTAATATTGTCATGGGGTTCAATGTACTGTAAATTGCTGAGAGGCATATTTGTTTTATGCTATTTTTTTATCTGCCTGGTAAGCTTGTAGTAAAATGATTTTAAGAGGAAATGCTCCACAATTCTACAGAACAATACAGCTGGAGAGACAAAAAATATTGCTGCAGAAATATGTTGGTTAACCCTCAGAGAAGTTGATAAAACTATAATTAAAGAATTGCTGCAGCAGCGCATAGAGAAAATGGCAGTCAGTGCCGACAAGATACTACAATTGATAGCAGTCACAGCATAAAATGGGAGAGGTGTCGAGAATGAGATTTACTACAGTAAGTCAATCCCTATTAGGTCACTTTGCAAAAAAGCACCAGGTGTTTTATCTACAGTCTGGTGAGTTCCAAAGCCCTCAGTGAGGCCATTCCACTTTCTGGCTTTATCCCAGAAATCAATGCAGGCGGCACAAAATTATATGCAATTTGTCTGTTTTTGGGTGGAGTGGAGCCTACTGGGTATCTTCCAGATTCCTCTAAATACTGATGGATGTCATTATGTGAGGAACAGCAAGACTGCATAACACCAAGGAGAACAGTGTACATTAGGAAATGAGGTTACAAACAAAAGGTGGCTACCTGACGCATTAAGTTCATTTTGTAAAATACTGTCCTTATTCTCTGGTTAGAAATAGAGCGCCACTTCTTGCATTTTCCATTCCTGGCAAGAGAAAGAAGTGCCGGGGGATGACCAGATAGATGAATCTTTGTAATCGTGAGCTATCCCTGCAGAAAAAAATATTTTGGGTACCATCTGTATGCCTGATTAAATCTATTTTCAAAGCAACCTTTCAAAATACTATTTGTTTACACTAATGCGAGCTTTAATTATTAAAAGGTGGATGCAACCACATTACCCAGACGGCTTTAGAGAATCAGGACTTGTTGTCCTCAGACACCTGACCAATCAGAGGAAGACAACTGGTCAGGTGACAGTAAGAAAATTGTCTTCCAGTAATTGAGCTCCCTTCTCTAAACCCCTCCTAGGCTCCTCCTTTTTTTACCCTCTCTATAAACTGCCAGGCAGATAAGTCGCTTACTGGCTTCAAAATTCAAAACCTCACAACATGTACTCACAGGCCCATTGTTCAGACATATTCTATCCACCTTCAGCCTCTCTTTGGCAAAGATATCAGAGGCCAACAGCCAGTAAAATCCTCTCTTCCTGTTTTATAATTTGGGGAGGAACTGTGTCCTTCAAACTGGTGAAGTGATGGAGGATGACAAGGATTCCCCACTGAATTCTGGGAAATATCATTCAGAAAAGAGCCTCCGTCTTGTCTCAACCTACTGCCTTACACTTCATTCACCAAATTATCATGAAAACAATTCTTTTGATTACTCTTATAGCACCACACTTTATGTCCTTCACTTCCTGGTCTCTGTTTACAGAAACTAAGTAAGAGTTGCAGATTTCATGTCTGGACACATCAAAAAAGAAAAAAGAGAAAGTGCATGGTTGGAAAGACAATGCACCTACACAATACGGGAGATATGTGTTGACTGTAGTTGCACAGTTGTCAGCTCTGGGAGAACCTTCCTCTTCTGTGCATAGCTCTTGGACTGGTGTTAAACTTGGACCTTTCCCATTATCCCAAATGTAAAGTGCAATCTGAAAAAGGAAAGCATTAACACATTATTGGTGAAGATTTTCAGTATGATTTCTTGACAATTGGCCTGCAAATCACAGATGTCACATGCTGTATATTATCTACTGGTACAATGTCTTACATACGTTTTTTTTATCAATTTTCAATATAGAATATATACAGTATATATCAACCCAATATCCTAAATGAAATGGAAATAATTAAATTCTTTCAAAGAATGTGTGATAAAAGGCTCAATGTGTGCAATGTGTGTCAATCTGTGTATATTATAGACAAAAAAAAACAATTTGACAAGGACAAATCCCTTATGAAAGTTTTTTTTATTTTTTTCCATGTTTATTTTGCACTTTTATCTTGCTTCACGGTGACAGTCCAAAACTTTTTTTTTATCTTGTTTTATCACTCCTCACTATATTTTATTAATGTTACAAAGTGATTTCACCCTGCTTTTACAACTGTGCACCACTGTGAGCTTTCAAAAGAGTTGTTTTTGTGAACCACAATGTGGAAAAAAAACAGTAAAAGGTAAAAGAGTATACTAAGTCAAAATTAAATATATATAGGTCAAGGCTCCTGAAAACTTAAAAAGAAAGAAAAAGAGCAGAGAAGAAGAAAAGAGTAAAAGGGATGAGAATGGCTGTAGCTGTAAACTGTATTCACTTCAGGCGTTCCAGGCGTAGAGCACTCGAAGACAAGAAAAAAAACTACAAATCCAAAGAAGAACTCCTTGTTAAGAAAGACTTAACAATTATTATTGTTTTGTTTGGAAGATTTCAAGATGCTCTGGGGGTGTGCAAACTTTTAGAATTGACAAAAAACGAACATGGACATAGTGTTCCCAAAGCTACAGTCTAATTTAAAGAAAACAGACATATATCTCTAGCACAGTATTTATAAGAAATAAGCAGCTGGAACATTAGGAAATAAAGTGCAATATGCTCATTTCCTATCAAAATGTTTTTGCCCTCAGAGCAAGGTGGTCCCATGGCAGTCACTCCTTATTTTCAAACAAGTCACAACTGACTTCATTCTGAGCGCATTCTGAATTATCTAAGGAGCTGAAGCCAATACTTCATTGGTAACACATTCTCAGTTAAATCATGATATATATATTGTGGCCACGCATCACACAATCAGATTTTTAACCTGCACCCCCCCCCCATAACCCTCACTGTGTCTTTTTAAACAAACTGTTGCTAATTTTTTATTTGCATCAGTCAGAAAGTAATGCACTTTATGATTGTCAAGGATCATGCAAAAATAAAATAACAACTGGATGAAGTTCTTAAATAAAAAAGGCTATGAATAATGGTAAAATATTTATAGATCGTCTACTTCCCTTCTTGTATTTGTGCTGCGGAATAAAACAGGGTGATTTCACAAATCATACATCATTGTCAGCAAATAAAATGCAGAGAGCTGAAAATCAGGTGGAAAAAGTATCTGAGACAAAGCCCCACGTCTGAATCCCAGATATCTGCAGCTTTACAATACACTACAGCTGACGTGAAAACACACTCCTACACTCGTGAAAGGTACAGTAGGGCTCGTAGTAGTTAAAATAGGTTCTGTCAGTTAACTTTACTTGGGTGGAGCTGGACAAAGCATTTTTTATGGTACATTGCATTTGCAGACTATCCTTACTTGATAATGTTGTAACAGACAGATAAGTTCTGGATCCCGAGATGAAGTTAAACAGATTAGTTTTATTGCATGCAAGGAACAATAAAATCGAAGTACTGTTCAAAGTGCCGGTACAAAACTTCCAGTTTATATAGCCCTTTTCTGCCGCTTCTGACGTAGCTCATTACTATGGTAATGGGGGGAGGTCATGGTGCTTGGACAGTTCATAGGCTTTGGCCAAATGGTCAGTGTTAAGTTTCTTTCCTTGAGAAGGGGGGCATCTGGAACCCTTATCAGTTATCCCCCTTTCCTGCCATAACTCTAAGCCTGGAATGTCTTTGTCACAAGAACCCCAGTCCTTGTGCAGAAAGGAATCAGTTAACCTTTTCTTCACATCTTATATCTTTCTTCAATAATTTAGGAAAAAAAAAGAGACAGCCTGCTTAACTGCCATGCAAATTAAATCAAAGCATTTGTAAAAAACAATTTTATTGCCAACGGTTTCAAAACTCCACTTCCATAAAAACAGGTTTATGCAAATTTTAAACTCTTTTTGCATTCCATGAGGGATGAACACTAATTTGACAATGCTCAAGTTACTTCACCAGCAGAAGCAGCTTGTGAAACATCATGCATGTGAACACCTTCAGGAGAGGACACAGCATAAGGAAAAGCCATGGCTTCTACAGCAGCAAAGCAGCTGCTGCTCACTGTCCCACGAGGGAACCAAAGCCAAGTCCCCTGCAATCCAATGCTCGTGGATTTACAGTACCACAATGCCAGAAGAGCCGGCCTGCTCAGCTTGGCAGCAGAGATTGCTTCAGGCAACATTCATTATCTTTTCCCCTTGGGATGAAAAAAGCTCAGGGCAGAGCAGCACTGTATTCACTCAAGGTTTATGCTCTGCTACAGCAGCTGCTATACATACTGTATCCCCGGGAACTCACTTTAGGAAAAGGGTTTCAATCCGTTTGGGCACACCTGCAGAGGCATGGGTGCTCTGAGACCTAGGCATGGCAGAAACTCATGTAACAAAGATTCCAACACTGAAAGGAGCCAGCTGTTGTATATACAATACCGTAACTGCTTTCAGTAGCATTCATGCTAGGCTCCAAGGTTATTATAATCTTCCTGCCACTTGCAGAATGCAACTAAAATAGCACAAACAGCATTCAAGGGTACCTTCAACTTGAGAATGTATTTTTATGCAACAAACACCCTAAATTTTCAGATACATTTATAAGGGATAAACAAAAGGTTGCAACCATTGAAAGAGGCTTTTGTGAAACCAGCCAAATTCCTAACCAATGGGCAGCTGATCTCCGTACAAATCCACATAACTTTCCCAATACACTTCCACAAATCAGCTTAGGGAGATTCATTTGTAAGCTGTTTTTCTGTTGCAGTTAAACAGAAATAACAACAACGGTACGTATCATGGTAGATTCAAAAATAAAATGAAAATATTGAAAATAAAGTACAGATATAGTTTATAATACTAGTCTCTTCAATGTGTAATACACAAGACTTCAAGTCTTCACTTCTTAGAGTTTTCCCGTTGGCAAAATAATGTTTTTTCTTTTGTTTTGCCTTTTGATCATATGAAGACTATATATTTACATTATATTGTACTGGGTATATCTACTGCTACCAACTACTACCTGCTGAATTCTCCCTGGCAATTCTTAAATTAGAATAGGTTATTAAAAGAATATCAATTCTTGTAGAAAACCTGCTAATTAAAATGATTTTATGCAAATATTAAGCACACAGGGTGGCACAGGGTTTGCGTCACTGCTTTGCTGGGCTGGGGCCCTGGGTTCAGTTTTGGAGCTGAGGTGCTATCTGTGTGGAGTTTGTATGTTCTCCCCAAGTTCGTGTGGGTTTCCTCCTGGTGGTTCAGTTTCCTCTCACACTCCAAAAACAAACAGGTAGGTTAACTGGCTTCTGGGAAAACTGGCTCTGAAGTGAGTGTGTGCGTGTCTGTGAGTGCCCTGTGATGGACTGGCATCCTGCCCAGGGTATTCACTATCTTGTAAATCACCCATTGCTTGCTGGGATAGGCTCCGGTTTGCCTGCAACTTTGAACTGAATGCAGCAGTTAAAAAATGGATGGATGGATTAAGCACATTCTGAGTGAACTGAGCCAGAAAATATTTCATGAATAATTTAGAATATTAACAGTACTGTAAATTTGCTTTGTTTTATATTGAAAGCCTGCTTGTGTGATCTACATATTTACAAGCAATATATTTAAACCTCTCATATAATCATTTCATATTTATCACTATGCTCCCGTGAAAAAAAATATGTTTTTTTCAATGCAGAAAAGAAAATCCACTGTGAAGTCACTGTGGTAAAGTGGTGACTGCTTCCACAAACCCTGGTGAGACTGGCAGCTTGCCACCATGCCAGGCCAAGTACTGTATTCACAAAAGCATAATGCTGCAGTGATGTGAAACACACATGCGTTCGATTAAAATAGAGTATTTCTTCATGATGACTAGAACATTTAGTTACACTAAATAATGCTTTTTATTATAGTAAAGATGAAGATTTTTATTGCATTAGATACTGACGCTCCATAGCACAATGGATCTTTCAAACAGAGAAACAAACAAGTAGCTAAGACAACATGAACTGAAAACCTATCTCTTCATTTCCTCCTTTTCATATAATATAGATACCTGTTCAGTCTGAATCTTATTTTAATCATCCTTTTCCAAATTCCAACCAGGTTGGAACACTTCAGGTGTTCACTGCACTCACATTGGATCAATCAGATGATCGCCTCATTTCAGTGATTCCTTAATGCTAAGTAAAACTATATAACCTGAGACTCAAAATAAAGTTGAATCCTGAAACTTTAAAATCACAAGTGAGATGATTGTCGGACGTTTCAAAAGAGCTCATTTTAGAGATGTACTATTTTTGTTAAATACAAACGACCAAAACAAAAACTTTCCATCTTCTTGATTGACGTTCTATCAAGCATAATGAAATATAGGCTGAGGAGATGCCAGTAAGGCTTGGAACAACTCGTGAAATAAAAAACTTAATTCTTGCACATTTCACAAAACTGTCAGAGCAAATTAAGAATGATTTAATTAAATGTCAGTTGAGCAAGCCTGACATCTCTGATGCAATTAAAAATAATTCAATGGAGCTCTGCTTTCCAGAACTTCTTCCTAGAAATCATATATCTCAATCTAATTTACATGTAAATCTCAATGTACATACTGAAACCTACTAACTGGGCACAGCAGCACATTGGTGTTGGACTGAAATATTCTCCACATGAGGTTATACTCCTCACACATTCTTGTACATGAATATGCATTCACTTTTGAAAGAACAAACATATTATTCTTTGTTAGTGACATTAGTTCTATTCAAGCACTAATGGCATTCTTATAAAAATAATTTTAAAACAGTAAAATACCTAAGAAACCAATGGTTCAAAATACTGGTTAATGAACAAAACAAAAAAGACAGAAAATAAAATTCTGCACCCAGGACAAATCCCACGTTTTCAGATTCAAAGTCAGATTATTATCAGATAGCTCATTATAAGAGGTGTAGACATACAGAATAAGCCTCGAAAAAACCTATGCACACTACAGACTGGAAACCTTTCAAAATATTGAAAAACTGAATATAAATATCAGTTTATACATTCTTACTGAATAAAGGTTTATAGGTCTAAGTATGCTGCGTTTGGGAATTTATAATATGAAACCTATTTTTTTATAGAATCAAAACTGACATATTAAAAGACTCAATTCAAATTTACCTGTTAAATGAAAACCAATTTTAATAATAAATGTATTGACAATAAATGTTGCCCTTACCTCATGCTTCAAGTCAATAGTGAAATCTGATTTAAGTGGTTCATCTTTCACTTTGTTTGCAAGCCTGAAACATCAAGTTTTTTCCATTAATATTAGTCATGCAACTTACAAAATAAAAGGATAAACACATGTTCTGATGAACTATGAACATAAAAATTAATCAGATCTTTACTAACATTGATCCAGGGACACATAGTACTCTTAACAGCTTCCTTTCTTCAGAATGAAGTACAAACATTTACAGGAAAAATCAATTAGTATCATGAAAAAAGAACATTTATGAAAGCTTATTAAATGCACATCCTAAATACTGTCCATATGCATGTATTTTACTTCTCTGAGCTGTGGAATGCAACAGGGAAAAGAATGAGTGTTTTAGCAACAAGGAAAATATTGTATAGTGAATTCACTATCCACTGCTGTTAGAGCATTTTTGAGTCTGTTTTTATCAATTAATTAAGAACAGCCACTGAGATTAATTTTGTGCATCCCTGAAAATTAATAAGCAATATCAATAAATAAAAAGGAAAACAAATCTCTGGGTAGTTTTAGAGGGAATTTGAGGCTCTTGTGTGATCATTTAAAAGCAAATGACTGGCTTCAAGGAAGGTGTGGTGAAA